GTCCTCCCAGAGCCCAGAACTGGTTTGGACCCTGGTGTCTGTTGGGGCAGGGGCTCTTCCCAAGCCCCATGGTTGGACAGGGAGCAGCCATGGGCCCTTGTGCTCCTGTTCCTCTTGGCTGGTAGCACTTGGTGACACAAGTCTCCATGTCACAGCTGAGCTCCCCACCCTGCTTGTCCCTCACCTCTTCCCTCCTCTCTCAGGTGTCCCAGCTGCGCCGTGGTCTTTGGTGGGGTCAACTCCATCAAGTCACACATCCAGACCTCCCACTGCGAGGTGTTCCACAAGTGCCCCATCTGCCCCATGGCGTTCAAGTCAGCGCCCAGTGCCCACGCGCACGTCTACACACAGCACCCTGGCTTCAGCAACCAGCAGTCCAAGTGAGTGTTCTCAGCAGCTGGTGCCCCCGCAGGTCCTGCCAGGAGAACTGGGAGCATCCCCGGTGGGTGGGATGTTGGGGGGAGTCTTCAGCACTGGCATGGGGAGCTGCAGCCACCACCTCATTCCTTTCCCCTCCCTCAGTGGGGGTCAGGCTGCCCCCGGGGCTCCTCTTGGCCCTCTTGCCAAAGGGGTTTTCCCAGGTCTTTGCTCCAGCCCCGGGCTGTGCCCACAGGGGTGGCTTTTCCTCCGACAGGATGATTTACAAGTGTGCGATGTGTGACACGGTCTTCACCCACAAGCCCCTGCTCTCCTCCCACTTCGACCAGCACCTGCTCAACCAGCGGGTCAGCGTCTTTAAGTGCCCTGACTGCCCACTGCTCTTCGCCCAGAAGCGCACGATGCTGGAGCACCTCAAGGTGGGGACGTGACCAGGCTCGGGTGCTCTGAGATCAGTGTTTGAGACTTGTCCTGCACCTGGGACTGGGTTTGGGCTCTGGGTTCGTCCGCAGGGCCCTGAGAACTGGTCCCCGTGTCCCAAAGCCTGAGGAGATGAGGCTGGAGCTGGGGTTGGGCAGCCTTTCCTTCTGTCCTGCTGCAGCCCAGGGGAATTCCCAGCCCAGGCAGCTGCTGACACCCCTGTCTTTGCCTTCCAGAACACTCACCAGCCCCAGAAGCCCAAGGAAGACCTGGCCAAGAAGGCGTCTGTCCTGCTGACACCGAAGCAGGAGCCTGTGGAAACCCCCGTGTCCAAGATCTCAGAGGAGTCGTCGTCCTCCACGGAGGAGGACGAGCCCCCCAGCTCCCCCGAGCTGCGCAAGACCAAGCGGAGCCGCTTCCAGCGCAAGACGGTGAACAAGTCCAAGGGCGCGCAAGGGCCGGCGCCTGGCCCTGCTGCTTCTGCCACTCCTGGTTCCCGGAGCGCGACGAATACGTCTCCCACATGAAGAAGGACCACGGGAAGGTGAGGAGGAGGATGGGGAAGCTCCAGCTCTGGCTTTGCTGAGCCCTTGGGAATGTGGGCAGGGAGTGGGTGTGGCTCAGAGCAGCAGGGCAGGACACCCGGGCTCCTGGATGTGCCGGGAGAACATTCTGCTACGGTCTGGGTGTCACTTCTGCTCCCAGAACAAACCTGGGGGGGACGGGGTGAGGTTTTGGGGAGCAGGGATGTTGCCTGTGCTGGTGAACAGCAGAGACCTGATGCTCCTCATCCGAAAACGCGGCCTTGGGATAGGCCGGGAGAGGGAACCTGAGGGCGGGCGGAGTTCCCTGCTGGGACAGAAGGAACCTCCCCAGGTTGGTGCCCACCTGCCCCCCCTTGTTTCTTGCAGTCGGTGAAGAAGTTCCCGTGCCACCTGTGTGAGCGCTCCTTCTGCTCCGCCCCCAGCCTGCGCCGCCACGTGCGCGTCAACCACGAGGGCATCAAGCGCGTCTATCCCTGCCGGTACCGCGGGGCTGCGCCGGGGCTGGGGCTGGGGGA